ATACCCAGGTGTTTACGTCAGCCAGAGTAAATATTCTACAAGACACTTTTTATGGTAAACTATCTTTGCCACTGACATCTGAATTAACAATTAAAAACCAACAGATCACTGCCCAAAACGACTGAACTTGGTATTTTTCCTTCGAAGCTAAGTCTTTTTTTTATTTTGCTAATCTACGCCTGTAGACCTTGTTATAATTGCCTCCTTGGTGTTTCTATCGTCAGGTGGTAGTTTCTCAGAATCGTAAAACAATTGATTTCGTTCTTAGCTCATTTAAGGTACGTGCTCATAAATTTTCCTAAAGCAGTGAGTCAATTTGTGTCTCAGAGCAAATTACTTTCGTGAGAAATGAAGAGCCTATCAGGAACCCCATGATTTTGATCAATAATATTGTCACAAGGTTTTTGTTATAAATAAACTCCGATCCTTGTCAATTCTGATGCTAATTAATTAGAAATGAATGAAACTGAATTTAGTATTTAAACCCTGGCCTTGTACCTCCTCTCGATAATTGTAAACGTTTAATACATTTATATTTACTACTTGGAATCAGGTATTCGAGGAACGTTCCTTTTGTAAGTTATATTGTCATGTTTCAATTCACAGTGCGTCACTAAATTAGATAATCGCAAACAAGTCATTGAGAATGTCAGAAAAACGCCAGAATATTCTACCATGAGGCCTTCATATCGATCGCTGAGCATATTCTTGTGAATATTAGATCGTGACTAACAACACCCTGTTTTAAAGATCACGTCATGGCTATGATGAACTCGACGCCTGCAACGAACATAAGCGAGAAGCCTTCAACTAACTCAGTGTTATTGAGTCCAGAGTTACTTTTGCTACTGATAATTGCTGACATCACGTTCGGATTCATTATTACTCTAGGTAACGCCACTCTCTTCTTCACAATTTACCGCGATCCGTGCCGCTGTCTACGGACACCATCTGTATTTCTGATCGCAAATCTTTCAGTGGCGGATTTTTTCATGGGAATTGTTAGTTACCTTAGAGCCGTGGAGCTGATATACCAGTACTGTGGTTTACCAGACTTAACTATTGTTAATATAACTGGGTATTTTCTGGGAGCGGTGTCAATTCTCGCGGCAGTATCTACTTTGATGGCGATGTCATACGATCGATTTATTGCCATCATCAAGCCATTTCAATATCCGCAGAAAGTGACTATCTCCAAAGCAAAGATTTCCATAGCCATTATTTGGATAAACGCGCTGGTCATGTCCGTTCTGCCAGTATCCGATGTGAAACAGGAGAATTTCTTGCTTGCTTACTGTTACTCTCATTTCCTCGTCCCCTCATTTATTTTGACAACAGCATACTTGAAAATTTACAAGAAAATTATCTTGCAAAGAAATGAACTTCAAGAAGTTAGAGCAAGCCTGACAGCGATTAACAGAAAAAAGCAGTTGGAGAGGGACAACAGAATGGTTATTGCATTCGTTTTGATCCTTTTGGTCTTTTATTGTTCTTTTTTACCTTATTTTATCTTCGTACATATTTTATATTTTTGTCCATGCCGGACCTCTCACGCGTTTGGCTTGTATCGTTACGTCGCCAACGAATTTCTATCTGTAAGCTCCATGGTCGACCCTTTCATGTACGCATGGAGACTTCCTCGGTTTAACCGTTCCTTTCGCTCATGCTTCCAGCGACTAAGAAAAAGAAATGCTGTGGCAGAATTAAACGGGACGAGTACAAACCTAAATCTTGCCGCTGTAGGAAGAGACAGGGGGAAGCTGACGGTGGCCCATTCTGAAAACTCTGGCAAAACCAATCCTAAAACTTGCATGGATGTCGGCACAAAAGAATCCACTTTGAAAACAACTTGATGAACAACTGTATCTGGTCTTTAAATAAACGTGAAAGGGATTAAAGACCATACATGTTTTTTTTTTTTTTGACACCGAAACGGCCTTCGATTTTATCCGCGTTAATTTTTACCTGTTTTTGTATTTCTTTGGCCTATTTAAAAGGAACTATTAGCAATGTGCGAATAAAAATTAAATAAAACAAAACAAAAACGAGACAATTCAGCCTCAGGTCAAAAAATATTCTCACTTGAAGTGGTCTCTAAATTTCAAAGTCCATTATCATTATTATCATATTATTATATTCATTTTTTTTTTATCTCCTGAGGGCTGTAAATTTGCATATCCTTATAAATCGAAACGCTACCTGGAGATAGAAGTAAGCCGAGATATTATAACAGTTTCCTCTATATTTCAATCGTCAAAACGGGTAACCTAAGCCAAGAGAGTACGTCAGCCGCAAAGACTTCACGGATATCAATTAATTCTATTTAGAACTACACCACTGCAGCTGTCTATTTCCGCTATTTCTGTAGGTGTTTATTCACATCAAAAGAACCTTGTGCCTCATGGAGAGGGAAACTGTTTCCCGAAGATTCCTGGGAACCTGTGCACGGGAGTATCAATTAGGTCTCTGTATAGACTTCTTATAGAAAATCCTCGGAAATCGTTTTGTTCTCCAGAATTTCTAACCCCTTGGCTAGTACTGAGGTGTAGTTCAATCAAGCACTCCTATTTCATACTGGTATTTTGTACAGGTGTCAAGTTCCGTAACCTCTTCCGTCACTTCCAAAGTGGATGATGGCGTCCAATACTGATCAGTTCTCATAATGTGGTTCCAACTTGTAAACGGAATTCAGTGGACGAAATTCTGCTTTGCGCCGGACCATTTTTGAACCTGTTTAGCAACACTTTATTTCCTTTAATGCATTCGTCAAAATGAAGTTCAGAATTTTTGTCAAATTTGGGCCTCCAGGGCATTTCTAGAAGCGAAACGGTTGAATTATTCCCTCTAACATAAAGACTACCTTTCATATAATCGGACCCTTGTATTTTGTAAGGTCTTCTGAGACAATTAGCATCAGGTCAGAGTTCAAAAAAGTTCACTTCTATCTCTCAAAAACATGCGTGCACTTTGCTATCGTCCTCGTAGGAAATGGCTAATTCGAAATGAATTGCGCAAGCACAAAGCCTCATGTTACCGGTTTCCTTAAGGTGGCTCGACCCAATATTTTTGTAGGCATATCGTTCCAGCTTTGGATCTCTTATACTTAAACAAATTGATCTTTATTGTAATAACATTAAAACATATGTATTACACATAGACTTAGATATTATTTTTTGCGCGATCAGGATAAATATCACGTGATAATAATGTCACAATAGTTTTAGCTCTAACTCGAATTTCTGCCTTTATTCTCGGTTTTCACATGACGTCATTAATATTCAAACGAGGAAACTATCGATTCTTCTGAGTTTCTGAGTTTCATAAGGTATTAAAGCACCTGAACACCTTTATTTAAACAAAGTTTTGGTTCGAAAGGGTTCTTTGTTTTGCGATAGAGGAAGCTTGAATTTCAAGGCTTTGGCGTGACTTTACATTGAGCTGGCGGCCGGGAAAACTCTCACGTGGGTTAAGAACGTTACTGATTTTTTGAGATTTTGCTATCTAAACATTACTTGTCCCAGAATGAATATTACATTAATCTTTATGAGTTCCTCAAGCGATGAATTCACGCATTAGTAGGAAAAGTCAAAAACAGATGTTTCTGTTAGTTTTCGGCGGACATATTTGTGCCCCTCAAAGGGAAAGCACTAGATAACATCGACCGAAACCAAATGAGTCATCGATTTGTCAGTGGCGTGTTACAAAATGACTGATTAAGAAATCCCTCGACTTCCGCTCACTTGATCGATCAGGGGCACCCAACTTCAATTTTCGGAAAATATCTGTTTGGAAGACGATTTGACACCGATTTGCCTGCCTCTCCTAGGATTTTCGGACATCTAAAAAATAATAATTGCCCATTTCTAACGGATTTTTACCCTAAAAGGTCACCAAGAATTTTGAGGAGCCTTTTTTTCTGGCTGAGACTGTTTCGAAAAGGTAAGTCAAGTTATAGGGATCAAAACGACTATAGTTTTTGGATCAGCAGACTCTCAGCTACGAAATCCGAACAGATAAAAAAATTTTAGGGGATAAAAATATGCCTATATCTACCGTTTAAGAACTAAAATACATTTGAAAATGCTATGTTTAAGTGGTTTTAAACTATATATTCTCTTTGGGTGCCCGCAGCGAGGATGTTGTATTTGAGTTAGTTGAGTTATAAAACGGTCAATACTGTCGTTTCCAGCTTATATTACTAAACAAAATCGTTAAATCTGTAATAGACTCAGCTGTATTGCATATTGAACGACGCGGCTTATGGTCTTTCCGAGGAACGCTGGTTTCGGTCGATCTTATTTAGTGTCCACACGTCGCGAAATCCTATTTAACATCGACCGAAACGCGAAACCTCACCGGAACTCCGAAAAAGACAAGATAAAATAAATCCCTGCGAGAGTGCCAATCCCATCCCAGTTTTATTGCTGTTATTAGCGTCCCAAACAGTTGTTTCCCAGCTTTGCGACTTTCACCTAAGAAAGTTTAATTGTTTTTTGGGAAACTTCGCACAACAAAAGACAAGCACCCAACGTACACGTAGCATAAAGCATTTCCAAATAAAATGCCTATAAGGGCAGAAATTCGATTCAGAGCTAAAACTATTGTGACGTCATTGTCACGTGATATTTATTCCCATCGCGAAGAAATAATATCATAATAACGTTAAGACTGTGTGTACTACATGCGTTATAATGTTTTTATAGTAAAGATCAATTTGTTTAAGCATAAGAGATTCAAAGATTGAAGGTGTACCTACAAAAATACTGGGTCGAGCCCCTTTAAGGAGGATGAGAAACTGATAAAAACAGGTGCACTCTGGGGGAGATTATTAAGATGTTCTAATGGTGACTTTAATTAGACTCTCCTTTTCTCGCATCCTAACCAAGACAATGCAAATAGGCACACAAACTGAATTATTAGTTTAACAATAATATAGTTTAACAATAATATATTCAATTATATTAATTGTTCTCATCTATTATATTTTTGTTCATTGTTCTTTACGAAGAAATGCAACCGTACAACTCAAGCTTCATAACAAGGGCGTCATTCCAAGAAAGAGGGTACAGTCGCACGAAGCGAGTGTGAATTGGTCTCGGCAAACTGTTTGTAACCACTCGGTACGGATCTTTGTTTCCATTAAGAACCTAAAAAGTAAAGGATCTTCATGAGTTAGAAAATACGTATGGATGCATTTCCACCAAGTCTTGATTAGGTTATTTGCAATATGGTAATTACAATACAACTTGTTTCAATTACAATACAGGAATTACAATGTTCTGAGGAGCTGCTATAGTGACCTACTGACGCTGGCTGTGAGGAGCTTCTGGTGACCAAGGGAATGTAACAGGCAGGTTGTTTCGTAGAACAGAAAGGAAGATATAAAAATCTCGTTCAGCAGTTTTAATAATCCTTCCCGCCTTGTAGCGTACAACTTCTCGCTCATCGTGCAATAATATCACGTGACTTTAAAAATGTAAACAACTTTAGGGGGTGGGCTAAGTACTTTCCTCCAAGAGCCTGATAGCTTTTAATTAATAGACTTGTGAGCAAATTTTATGACTTCATAGCGGACAGCGTTATACCATCTGAAAGACGGGGTTTATTTATTTGTTAAGCTATTTGCGGATGCATTTATTTTGTCGCATTGATCTTGCTGTTTTTAATGAAGTCTTTAGTCCATGTTCATTCTCCCGAGTCAAATAACAATATGTTTAGGACAAGACACACTTTTGACCGGCCCTACCTTATCGTTGTCACTGTCACCTCGGTAGTAAAACCATGTGACTTGGTCCTGCGAATACGCCAACTTGTATGAAGTCACATACATTGAGAACATCTTGCCTTGTGTCGCTACACCTTTCAGCCAAGTTTGCTTTCCAAGGTCCACTTGTATCCATGGCAACGGGTCATATGGAAAAGCGTACCAACCTTTAGCAATCCCGGATCGAAGCCGCGCTGCCCAAGGAGGATACTGGGGATAGTGGGAACTGGCTGTGATAGATTGGTTTTTAATCTTGCCGCTCTCCATTCCAAGTGCATCACTCCCGCTGCACATCTTTGCTAAAAAGAGCAAATGTTGGTTAGAATACATAAGTAATTACTAAACTGTAACAGCCTTCTTTGCAAGACTGACATAATAAAATGAGCTTATTGCTTGAAGGAAACGTTTTCCTCCGATCAAATAATCGCTATAGCTTTATTCTAACAAAATTTGCAATTGTAAGGCTTCTGAAATAGAACGAAGTATTCTTTGACTCCCGATAACTCAGTCGAACCCTCGCTAACTCGAACTTCCCGCAAACTCGAACCAAAGTCGATTTCCCCCAGATTTCCTTCATACATTTACTGTAATTTTACCGTCGGTAAATGGAAGCTTTTCATAGTCAGATATTAGCTTGCATGAAACAAATTATGTTCTTCGTTACCACTACATAGAAGAAACGTTTTGGACAGCGGCGTCTGCAGACCAGTGAGTGTTAATACATTACATGACGTGAAGGCAGTGCAGGTGTAGTTGTCAATTTGTTGATAGCCTTCTTTACACTGACAAGAGTAGGATCCTGGTTTATTTACGCAATGTGCTGCTTTTAAGTCGCACTTGTTGTCGCCATTTTTGCATTCGTCTACATCTAAGGATATCAACAAATTATAGTGAACAAACACCATCAAATTGTAAGTTTGAGTGTTTTTGAAAAGTGGTATCTCTTACTTCACTTCCACTTCTACTCTGTTTTTGTGGGGTGGGAAGATCAAACTACTCAGCGAATCGGTATTAAATTAATCTGATGACTGTGCGTACCTGTCGTTTTCAATAATATATCGCTCCTCCTGCCTGTAAAAAACTATCTAAGAGCGAGGATTATTGACTCCAGGACGAAGTTGACGTTCGGGGACCATACCTCATGCTTCTATTAAACCTATCCTAACATTTATTGATTTCTGCTGACTCGTTCTCTCAGCCATGGCCATTACGAGTGTTTTTCTTAACTAAAGGTTGTTTTTTCAGTTTAATACTTTGATCTGGAACAATACGAGGGCTCTTAAAAAGATTCGTTCATGTCCACTAGGCAACGTACCCTTATCAACGACTAATTCAAAAACCGTTATCCTACTCTCTTTTTTCAGTGCAGGTCCTCCCTTGAAAGTTTATTTTCCAAGAAGATATTTCTTACTTC